GAGCCCGGGAGCCCGGGACTTCTTGGGAGCGCACGCCCGCTTGTCATAGTAAAGACTTGGTTGCCCCTTCTCGCGGCTGGCTCGCCCTGGCCTTTCGATCGGTGGTCGGGTGTCTGACATGTGTTGGGACAAACATGTTCAAGCCAACTAGCTAGAGCCTGGCTTCTCGTGGGAGGCGGCAGAAAGCAGCCCCCGGCCCGCCCCTACCTGCCCGGCAGCCTGGAGCAGGGAGGAGGGGCGGGAGAAGAGGGTGCTGGAGGCGGGTGTGTAAGTCAGTTTCATTGATAAAAAAGCGAGTTCATTCAGGAGACTCCGGAGCGGCGCCTGCGTCAGCGCAGACGTCAGGGATATTTATAACAACCCCCCTTTCAAGCTAGTGATGCTGAAGGGATAGCACGAACGCAGCAGCAGGATGGAGGCTAAGGGCTCCGCGCTGCGGAATTCTTGGGAGAAAGGGGAAGACCTGTCATCCAGGGTGAAGGGCAGCGAAGAGGAGGGCAGGCAGGCAGGCTTCTGCCTTGCGGCCGTCCCCTTCCTGCTGCATGCGGCACTGAGAACTCTCCCTGACCCACCTGTTTTCAGGAACCTGCTTGCTCACTGCGCCTTCGTCTTCTGTTTGTTCTAGGATTTCTGCACGGATCTGGGAGCCTCCAGTACCAACTTCATCCCCACCGTGACTGCTATCTCCACCAGCCCCGACCTGCAGTGGCTGGTGCAGCCCACCCTGGTCTCCTCCGTGGCCCCTTCACAGACCAGAGTCCCCCACCCCTACGGAGTACCCACTGCCACAGCTGGGGCGTACTCCAGAGCTGGCATTGTGAAGACCACAACAGGAGGCAGAGCGCAGAGCATTGGCCGGAGGGGCAAAGTAGAGCAGGTGAGGAACTCTTCGGCACCCCCTTCTGAGTGTGGGGTGGGGTGGGGGGAGATGGCAGGGGAGAGGGAAGTGGAATGGTGGGGCAGAGAGTGAAGACAGATGGAACTGCCCATGGGGAACCCAGAACCTGAACTCTGAGCCCTTTCCATCCCAAGCTAGACCCTGGATGGTCCCACCCCCAAGAAGTACCCTTGTCCTTCAACCCCTAATAGTTTTCCATCTCCTGCTTTTAGACGGGGCTTTTCTTTGTTCTCTTGCTGAGAACCTTATTTGAAATGCAAGTCACACCCAGCCTGCAAACTGCAGGTTAGAAATGGCCTGCAGGAGAGGTGGCCAGGAGGTGCAGGAAGGAGCCAGTCTCTCTGGGAAAGGGAGGGTGAATGGAGCTGATCGCAGGCACTGTCACTGACTGTGGGTCATCTGCTATTCTAGCTGTCTCCAGAAGAAGAAGAGAAACGGAGAATCCGGAGGGAGAGGAATAAGATGGCTGCAGCCAAGTGCCGGAACCGGAGGAGGGAGTTGACAGACACTCTCCAAGCGGTAAGTGGCCCACACAGGTTACTCCCACCCCACCCCAGTTTCAAACTTGAGGGGAAAGTTGGAGATGGGGCCCTTGAGTAGGACTGGATCTTATGTCCTCTTTTATTGCTCTGTCTGCAGGAGACAGATCAACTTGAAGATGAAAAGTCTGCTCTGCAGACCGAGATTGCCAACCTGCTGAAGGAGAAGGAGAAGCTCGAGTTCATCTTGGCAGCTCACCGGCCTGCCTGCAAGATCCCAGAGGACCTGGGCTTCCCAGAAGAGATGTCCGTGACTTCCCTGGATCTCAATGGGGGCCTGCCGGAACCTTCCACCCCAGAGGCAGAGGAGGCTTTTACCCTGCCCCTCCTCAATGACCCTGCGCCCAAGCCCTCAGTGGAGCCTGGCAAGAGCATGGGCAGCATGGAGCTGAAGGCTGAGCCCTTTGATGACTTCCTGTTCCCAGCATCCTCTCGACCTTGTGGCTCGGAGACCGCCCGCTCCGTGCCAGACATGGACCTGTCTGGCTCCTTCTATGCAGCAGACTGGGAGCCCCTGCACAGCGGCTCCTTGGGGATGGGGCCCCTGGCCACAGAGCTGGAGCCACTGTGCACCCCGGTGGTCACCTGCACGCCCAGCTGTGCTACCTACACGTCTTCCTTCGTCTTCACCTACCCCGAGGCTGACTCCTTCCCCAGCTGTGCGGCCGCCCATCGCAAGGGCAGCAGCAGCAACGAGCCCTCCTCTGACTCGCTCAGCTCACCCACGCTGCTGGCCCTGTGAGCAGCAGGGCAGGGGAGGCAGGAGGCACCCACACATGCCGCTGCCTGAGCTGGTGCATTTCAGAGAGGAGAAGCACATCTTCCCTCGAAGGGCCCCGTAGACCTAGGGGAGACCCGATCTGTGCGTGAATCACACCAGGCTGTGGGCCTCAAGGACTTGCAAGCATCCCGCAGTGTGGACTTGAGTCCTTACCTCTTCCAGAGATGTAGCAAACGCATGGAGTGTGTATTGTTCCCAGTGACGCCTCAGAGAGCTGGTAGTTAGTAGCATGTTGAGCCAGGCCTGGGTCTGTGTCTCTTCCCTCTTTCTCCTTAGTCTTCTCATAGCATTAATTAATCTATTGGGTTCATTATCGGAATTAACCTGGTGCTGGATATTTTCAAATTGTATCTAGTGCAGCTGATTTTAACAATAACTACTGTGTTCCTGGCAATAGTGTGTTCTGATTAGAAATGACCGATATTAAACTAAGGAAAGATATGACTTTATTTTCCAGTAGATAGAAATAAATAGCTATATCCATGTACTGTAGTTTTTCAACATCGATGTTCATTGTAATGTTACTGATCATGCATTGTTGAGGTGGTCTGAATGTTCTGACATTAACAGTTTTCCATGAAAACGTTTTATTGTGTTTTTAATTTATTTATTAAGATGATCTCAAATATTTATATTTTTATTTTATTTTTTTTCTACCTTGAGGTCTTTTGACATGTGGAAAGTGAATCTGAATGAAAAATTTAAGCATTGTTTGCTTATTGTTCAAAGACATTGTCAATAAAAGCATTTAAGTCGAATGCGATCAACCTCCCTGCTCTTTTTTTATTCTGGAAGTTTTGTAAGAGTCTGAAAGGCAAGACCAGTCTTTCAAGAAGGTTGGCTCCCGGAGGGGGACACACCCTTCTTTCTGATCCCTTATCAAGGAGGAGGGGTAACTTCTGGAACACAGTTTGAAACGCTTCACAAATACATGTCTACGTGTCAGCATGTTAACGATTCTGTTTACTGATTCCAGTGGTCAGAACCTAGTTGTTCTGTTTTGATACTCAAAACCCAACCCAATCCAACGGACTGCTGTCCAGCCAGTTTTGACTTGCAGCAGCGCTTGCAGGACAGAGTGGAACTGGCCCACAGGACTTCTGAGTCTGTCAATCTTTACAGACACCTACTACTGAATTTTTCATGGTTCAGTTTTTGCTCATTAGCAGCAAAGAGCTTTTTCCACTATACCACCATATTCAAAAGGGAGGTCAATTGAAATCCAGTTGCGCTGCTAACAAATTCAGATGTCTTGATCTTAGAGAAACTCTTCAAACTAAGCCTTGTGCAAGCCAATTTAACTTTTTATGCTCCCCTCTCCCCCAATTCTCATAAAAGTTTACTCCCACCTTTCCACCAAAGCCATTACCAGCTAGTCAGTTACACTCATTGATTCTGGGGGTGGGACCCTACTTTTTCTGTTTTGATCATCAAAGCTCAACCCAATCGGATCATCCCATTGCTGTCTAAATGAAACGCACTGCCATCCAGTTGACGCCACTCAGAGTGACCCTCCTGTCGTTGTCCGAGGCTGTGACTGTTTATAGGAGTAGAAAGCTTCGTCTTTCTCCCAAGGAGCAGCTGGTGATTTTGAACTGCTGACCATGCGGATGACAGCCCAACGTGTGACTACATCACCACCAGGGCTCCTCTCACTGCTGTCTAGTGGATTTCAAATCATAGCAACCCTATAGGACAGTAGAACTGTCCCATGGGGTTTCCAAGTACATTGAACTACTAACTGCGAGGCTGGCAGTTCAAAACCACCAGGGAGAAAGAAGAGGCTTTCTACTCCCATAAAGAGGTACAGTCTTAGAAAACCACAGGGGCAATTCTCCTCTGAGTTAGAATGGACTCGATGACAGTTTTTCTGAGTCTCATGTTTTCAGAAGCGAATTGCCTTCACGTCTTTCTCCCACAGAGCAGCGGGTGGTGTCTAACCACTGTCTTTCCCTTAGCAGGGCAGTGCTTTAACCACTGAATCCCAGTGGTTACAAATGACTTTTATCCCTACCTTAAAGGAAGGCAAATTAAAGCGTAGTATCGGGTTCAGAATCTAAACGTCCTCAACTCTTCCATCAGACTTCTGCTGGTTCTTAATATTCAGTTTAAAAAACCCTAACCCGTTTCCAACATGTTTCCTGACCCGGCATGCACACATTCTCTTGGACCGTCCTTATTCTCAGAAAGGAAGGAGGGCTGAAGGTCTAGCCCTCAGTCATCCGTGCATGGTAATTTCTGGAACTGCTCGAACATCACCTGCTGGCTGACATTGGGCTTGCAGGGGGGGAGGGGGACTGTTAAGGAAAACGCCAGGAGCATTGGAAAGAGATCGCAAACAGTACTAATCATGGCAGGTAGCGCAGTAAATACAAAGTTACATAATATTTCAATAAGGAGAGGTCAACGTGACTCTGAACAAGCTTTAACTGAAACTTTATCATCTTGGAAGAACACGACCTTTGTCTGGGACGCCTCTGGTAATGGGGCACTTATGCGCACATGGAAAGACCATAAAGAGAGGCACTGGCGCCCTTCCTGGCCCTTGAGCGGCACGCAGACACCAGGCTTTTAAAGGGATGCTTCACACACGCTGCGTCCGAGAGGAGCTGCAGTGCCTGCCTGGTGATCATTTTTGGTGATAATAAACATCAGAGAGTGGTCGTGAGGGATGCTGGGCAGTCCCATTAAGTCCAAATTTTAAAGGGCAGTTCCCTGGAAGCTGATGTCCTCACCTCGGGTCCCCTTGCTCCTCACAGAGTAAGCGGCAGTGAAAGGCCATTGACTTCAGACACTGAAGAACACTTGTAAATATGTCACATGCGATTTCCAGTGATGTGTTGCTGATCTTTCAGTACCGAAAACAGCCCGAGGCGCACTGTTTGCCGGGCAGGGCTGTAGCCTTTAAGGGGGAGCTGAACGAGTTACAGGATTCATCTAGCCAAGCCCCAAATCGAAAATCCCAAGGCGATACCTATACCCCATTGGGAAACCAGCTGCCTCTGAAGGATTTGCTAATAACAACCTGTGGAAGGAGAGCTCCCAGGCAGAGAAGGGCAGCTGCTCTCCAGCCTTGGACGCTGACCTGCTCCTGGAGACTAGTGGCCTTGGCAGCCCCACCTTGACCATATAAAGAGAAAGTGCTGCCTTCCCTATGGCTGACTCTTCTCTGTCTTCACAGCCCAGCTGAACCAAGGCTGAATAAAAGGTCCACGGTGTGGGTGTGGCCCAGGGACTCACTTTCCCAGGCTCCACAGAGGGCACAGGGTCCCTCTAGACTGTCCGTAGTGTGAACCGGAAGCAGGAAAAGAGCACTGAAAAGGGCTACTAGGGTTTGGGGAAAAATAAGTTACTCACCTCTAGCGTTATATGCGTAAAAATAGTACTCTTTGTGGGATCAGAAGAAAGGAATTCCTGCTCTCATCAGCCAAACAGCTCCTTCCTAAAGGCCTTTCCCACCCCAGGATTCCATTGGGCTTCTCCCCTGGATGACTGACTCTGGGAATGTCAACCTCCCTTTGGGAAAGACTGGAACCCTTGCCCACAACACTGGCCTGACCACAGTACTCCCTCAGGGTAGCGCCCCTGAGGCAACAGGCACAGGTACCCCAAGGGGCAGGGTGTAGGGGGTGGAGGCTCATTGCGTTAGGAGACTGTGTGATTCAGCTCACCAGCGGTCAGACCTAGCTCAACGACCAGTCCATGCAGTGTCAGATCACCTAGTAAGCAAGGTAAGCAGGGCTTACTTGTGCTTGCTTACTTACTAATCTGTAGGGAACAGTTTCACATTTCCCACCACATCAACACTTCTGCTTGCTTCTCATTTGGCTGGCACCGGTCTTGCTCCCAAGCCCAGAACGCCAAAATCCAAGCCTCTTTCCAAATGTACAATCCCGGGCAGGGACTTAGGCATGGGTAAGCATGGGTTTGCTTGTGCTTGCATACAAATCTGTAGACTCTGGAGTTTTACCCACATGACATTGTTCATTCCAGATTAGAATGTAAGCGCAAGTAAAGCCCCGTCTACCTGGTTTATTGGTTAATCCACCCCTGGGCACATGGTTCAAAGTGAATGAGGATTTATTTGCTCATTGAATGGATGAACACATTGTGCGTGATTTCGAAACTGCAATAACCACAGTAAAAGCCAAAAGAGCAAACTTGTTGCCATGATGTCAGTTCCAACTCAGCGACCCCCCCAGGTGACAGAGTAAAACTGTCTGCGCCCCAAAGGAATTTTCCATGGCCCAGGTGATGGGGCGGAAGCAGGTGGCTGAGCGTTTCTTTTGGGGGAGCCTCTAGGTGGATTCGAACCATTAACCTTTCAATAAGTAGCTGAGCATACCCAATAATGCAGATCACACATTTCTCTAACTTCTCTCCCATACTCCACTGGCATATTAATCCACTGGCACTGGGTGGATTCTGACTCTTAGTGCCTCTATCTATCTGTCTATCTGTCTGTCTATCTATCTATCTATCTATCTATCTATCTATCTATCTATCTATCTATCATCTATCTATCTACCTGTCTAATCTAGGGTTTCAGAGATTATCAATCTTGATGGGAACTGACAGCCTCATCTTTCTCCAGAGGTGGGTGTGAACCATGGGCTTGCCATAAGCAGGCCGACACCGCGCCCACAAGGCCTCCCTGGCTCTGCACTGGGAAGAAGCAGTGGGCATTTCATATCTTTCATAATCTGACTACAAACACATACCTCACTTCCATCTTTGTCTCCTGGAACCCCTCCACTACCTCCCCTAGCTTACAGCCCCAGCACCTTCTGGGTAGAAGGCTTCTTGTGCTTCCAGCTCACACGCATTGATGGATAGAAAAAGAGAGAAGACAGGGGATCTGTATCCGTGTCCTTGGATTATAGGCTCGGGGCTGTATTGTTCATGGAGACCTGGTGGCGTAGTGGGTATGCGCTGGACTGCTAGCCACACAGTCAGCAGTTCGAAACGACCAGTCGTTCCGAGGGAGAAAGATGGAGCTTTCTAATCCGGTAAAGTGTTACAGTCTCGGAAACCCACAGGGGCCATTCTCCGCTGTTCAGAACCGACTGGATCGATGGCAGTCAGCGGAATCCTGGAGGAAGAAGAAACAGTGTGAATGAAGTGTTCGGGGATGACATTGAGGGCTCATCCAAGGCTTCAACCTTTTTCAAATTAGGGAGAGAGAGAAAAATCTATCACAAAAATCATCTTTAAACTATTGCTATCTGAGATTTCCTCCAAACCAGGAATAAGCAAATGCTTCCACAATAAAGGAGATCTGAGCATTATTTGTCAATGGAGTCCTAGAGCCATTCAAATTGTGCGGTGTGGCTCTTAACACCTCAGAGCTGACTCTCGAGTCCCCTCCCCTCCACCTCTGTCCTTCTCCCCTACAAGGGCCATGCTGGTGGACCTTCCTGCTCGCCTTGCTTCTTCCTGATCTTCTGCCTGGCTGGTCCTTCCCTGGACCCTGGATCTTGAATCACTTCTGCACACAGTCTGTCCCCATCACGCTCCATCCCCCGTTCTCCTTTTGCTTTGTTCACAGCTTGTCTCACAGTTGGTTTGTGCACTCAGCTACTCACCGTAAGATAGGTAGTTCGAGTCCACCCAGGGAAACTCCAGGAGCAAGCTCTGGCAATCTGTTCCCATAAAGATCTCTGTCTGTCAAGAAAGGCCTATGCAATTGGACACCCCCTTATAGAAGGGTCTCAGGGAGGAGGCAAGCCAGTCAGGGTGCAGTATAGCACTGATGAAA